GGCATGTGAAGAATTTCTTGGAGAATTTTTTCAGAATTTTCTTTATTTTTCGTACAGAGATTTCTTTACGAGTTCGTGTCAACCCCTTCATATAATTTTCTTTGAAGATTCGTAAAAAAATCGTTACAGAAATGAGAAACTCCTAAAGATTTCGTTAAGATTTCGGGAACTTTGGTTTGCAGGGGAAATTATATTACATACACATATGTACATACCCTGCAAACCAAAGTTCCCGAAATCTTATCGAAATCTTTAGGAGTATCTGATTTCTGTAACGATTTTTTTCCGAATCTTCAAAGAAAATTATATGAAGTGGTTGACACGAACTCGTAAAGAAATTTCTGTACGAAAAATAAAGAAAATTCTGAAAAAAGTCTGCAAGAAATTCTTCACATAGCAGCATTATTTTCGTTGCTTCACAGATTTTCTTCCGAAATTTCGTAAAAGAATGGAAGTGTGCGTAATTTAGTTCATTTTAGAAAATTCGGAAAAAAATCGGATGGGATCTTACGGAATTCGTTAAAATTTCTTTACGATTCAGAATACTCTGAAAAAATGGTTTGCAGGGTATGTACAGCTCGGTATAAGATCACACATAATGCCGAGACACTTTCCTGTGACGTTAAGTGCCACGCCGTCAACGTCGTCGTTGATCACGATAATCTAGAGACAAGGTGAGGTAACTTTTGTCGCAGATTGTGCGGCATATAAATCTCACCAAGTTTATCTCAACTTCTAACTTACAGTGAGTACTATCCCAAGGCAGTATTAAGTATTAAAAGTAGAGAGTCAGACAGCAGTAAAAACCTGACTTATGGCTTGGTAATAATACACGAAGCGAATAGTAACAAATCTCGGCGAATTCGTAAGGATCTATTTATTTTAGATTCTACCGCTTAACGTTACGTTAACGTACGTTATAACCATTTGTATTCATCTCATATACAATAGATAATAAAGTAACAGTTCACTCCGTACCGACTGAAAGGCCGTTCACCCCAGGCGATTGTTGCTTTCAACTAAAAGTTGCCTGTAAATCGCCTCATGTAAACACCGTATTAACGTAACTTAAAGCAATGTCGAAATTAGTTTTATTTTGATTTTCTAAGTTCTAGGTTACGTTAAGTTAAGTGGCGATAATCAGATCTTGAATCTTCTAGAAAACTGCAAAACTCTCGAGATGGTTTTGGATAGAATAAATCGTTACCATAATGAAGACACTTAAAATTTTATGAACGCTTCGAAAAATATGGAGACACTTCACTTTTTGTTTGGCATTTCACTTCAATTTATTTCCTGCTGGCTATAGCTCTGGCTTTGATACTACCTCAACAAATGAATGCTTTGGAAATTTTAATATTATTTTAAGGAACTTTATAAACATTAAAACATTATAACAAACAAGGTAATCTTACTATTTGTTCATATTAGCAGAGCTGTTACAAAATGTGTATTTATTTAAAATACTATAAATCTAAGACAGACACGTTCCGAGGGTTAAAGTTTTCTGCGGAAAAGCGGTCGGTACTAAAAACCGACACTTATGTTGGTGCATCTGCAGTTACCATGCACGCGGCCATCCAATAATATATTCCGTTCTATATTTAATTTTAGAAAAGCTCCATTTCAAAAGAAACTACCTTCAAATTAATTGTAAACAAATTCAATGGCACTTAAGTTGTCAATTAACGAAATGAAGAATCAACTACCACCAACAAGTTAATAAATAACATTATTCTTCACTGAATTTCCATGTGGGAAAAATTTACAAATTTTAAAGTTCATCCTGTTTCTACATTTCCCCAACCCAATTGAATCGAGACACACTATTGCCTCTGATTATATCAAAGCATATTTCACTTGCCGCCAGAGCTCAGAGTACACTCACTTGACGTTGGTGAACTTGTAATCAAATTTTTGAATTTTTTATTGATAGTAAATTCTATTTTGATGCTTTTCCAAAAAACCCATTACAATAAAAAACTAAAAATGCATTTCTCGTGACACATCCGCTGTCAAACTATCAGGTGTCTCACTACATATGAGTATGAGTATACATTAGCCCATTATGCGATCCATGCGTAAGAAAGATCATATCCAATTTCGGAACAAGTTTCCTTCTATTTGTCATGCTACTCTGCCAACTATTCTTATGCACTCGACACAACTTTGAAACAGTTGTACTTGCGGCATAATCATTTTCCGCTCATTTTAATTTACATAATTTGTGTGTGTTTCGGCGTCACGGCGTCCGATGCCTTTGTCTCGAGTGATTTTATCGCATGCCCGTGTACCTATACAAAAATAAACAAATTAAAATCAGTTAAGTTCAGGTGGGCTGAATGGACCGACCGACCGACAGCTGCTAAGAATAATGCGTGATCGTTGGTTCTAGATTTTCGGATCAGCATAAAAGCTACGCTCGTAGCGCATCTCGTTTCAAATGTTCAACGTCAAGTGGGTGAATAGGAAGTGTTGAAAAGTATTTTTCCGCTGTAAGCGCTGCTGGTATTTTATGGTATTTTTGTGTTGCAAATATTCCACTTCTGAATTTTGAAAAAAAAAAAAAACCAATATTATGAATCAAGCCTCGCTTTATCATCGTGCCAGCGCTGTGCAGCGCCGTGATTCGAAACAGATTTTTCAGGAGTACATGAAAGTGATGCAATGGCGCGCAGATGAACACGATACACTCATCGATATTGGTTCGGGATCCGGCAATGTGCTAATGGAATACATTTATCCCATGCTGCCGGCGCAATTCAATGCTGTTTTGGCCACAGATATTTCGGAGCGTATGATCGATTTCGCGCGCAAAAACTATGGCGACTCTGAGCGCGCGCACTTCGAGGTATTGGACATCACGTGCGCGCAGCTGCCACAGCGGCTGTGCGGGCAATTCGATCATGTGACCTCTTTCTATTGCCTGCATTGGGTGCAGAATCAAAAGTGAGTTTACATGTGCTTGAGATCGGTGAAGAGCACACCGATGATTTTTTTCGTACATATTGCAGACGCGCCTTGTTGAATATCTATCAATTGCTGCGCCGTAGTGGTGGTGACTGTCTACTCGTTTTCCTCGCGAATAACCCCATTTTTGATGTGTACATAGAATTGTCCAAGTCAGAAAAATGGGGTAGATATATGACAGATGCCGTACAGTTTATATCACCGTTGCATAATAGTAGCGACCCGGGCGCTGAGTATAGCAAATTGTTGCAGGAGGCTGGCTTTGTAAACTTTAGCGTTGAGATCCGAAATGAGATCTTCGTCTATGATGGCACGCAGAATCTGAAAGGTTAGTGAAAGGTATTTTAGTGCTTTTGTATCAAGAAAACTTCTTGCTTCTTGAAATATTGCAGATAATGTGAAAGCTGTCTGTCCATTTCTCGAACGAATGCCCGAAACGCAGCATGAAGACTTTCTGGAAGATGTGATTAAAGCTGTGGTCGACATGAAGCTGCGTGAAGGCGATATTAATGCGAGAGATTTCAAGTTCATTGCACCGTACAAACTTGTTGTGGTCTATGCGCGGAAACCCAACGAATATTTGAGTAGCATGATTGAAGAAGCGGAGCGATTGGCAAAGGGACTGAATTGAAGTGAAAGATTGCAAATTGACAATAACTTATACATATGTATGGAGACTTATTTTTAGTTATTTATGAACAACTTTTCAATGCATTATCGCAATGAAAAAATCACCTCACTGGCACTAGAAATATAAGAAATATAATCACAAATGATTAGAAATGTCAACATTAAAATTTAATTCTAAGATGCTTCGAATAGATTCCGGCTCGAACCGGAATCTCTAAGCGATCGCTAAGTCTTAGCAGAGAAGACTTAAGAGCTTTCACCGGATACCTGACAGGAAACTCCAGGCTGAGCTATCATCTACATAAAATTGGTTGTATCTGAGGAGCCGAATTGTTGGTTTTGTGAGCTGGAGGAGGACACTTCGGAACATATATTCCGTGATGCCGCATACTCTTTGTACCCTCCTCTTTATCTTATTTGTTTATTTTCTTCAATAACACAGCTAGTCTCCCATACATAATAGAACAATAGAACTTGACGATCGTATCAACAAATCGAATTGCTCAGGATTCTCTCTATACGAACAGCTAGGCTGTATATACGTCGCATTAAATTTACTTTGGTGAAGCGATTAGATCGTCTATACCTTGCATTAACTATATCGACTTGGTTCTTGCGGTTTTAGCTGGCACTTAAGGAAAGAACATAGAAAACTAAGAAGGTGCATAGTAGTAGATTACGTTCCAACAAAATGCGGCTGCGTGATACGTACGCACCACTGGGCTGGTTGCCTTCTACAATCAGTAGCCGCGTTTTGCTGGAACGTAGTCTACGACTATGCACCTTTTTAGTTTTCTATGTCCTTTGACTTAAGCACACTTAGGAAGGACAGTGGGAAAAAATTCGAAGCAAAATTTGCCTTAGTATCGGGTTTCGATACGACAGAAAACTATGGATTTCGAATATTCCTGGAAAGGAACACCGGAAGAAATGCTGTTGACGTTATGGTAGGGGCGAATGCATTGCAAGGTAAATAATAACACATAAAAAATTACTTTTGACTAACTTTAGAACTTTGAAGACACATTTGATAGAAAATTTGCTGGTTCTGGCAAAGCATTCAATAGAACGAGCGCAAAGTGGTTGCTTAAATTTTTTGGAAGTTGAGTGTTTGAGTGTAAAACGTGTAAACCAGCTCAAATAAATCATGATTAGGCGGACCTATGCGCAACAAAATATAAGTAATTTTTAAGCAAAAAATAAAACCGACTTCAATCTAATATATAAAAATCTCGTGTCACGGTGTTAGTGGTCGAACTCCTCCTCAACGGCTCGACCGATTTTTATGAAAATTTTTGTGTATATATAGTAGGTATGAGAATCGGATATAAAGTGTATTTCATACAGCTAGGTACAGGGGGCGTTGCACCTCCCATACAAACCGACTTTTTCATATTGCATATCTCTGGAAGTGTTCATGGTAGAGTATTCGAACATGGTATGGAAATATATGAAAACAATCGCATACTCATGGAGAAAAATTGCAGTTATTGGAAAAGGGGACGTGGCACCTTCTATACAAACCGAATATATCATACTGCATATCTCTGGAAGTGTTCATGGTAGAGCACTGGAACTTGGTATGGAGATATATGAAATCAATCACATGGTCGTGAAGAAAAATTGGGGCTATTAGAAAAAGGGCGTGGTACCTCCCACACAAAGCCAATTTTTCATACTGCATATCCCGGAAAATTTTCACGGAAGAGGATAGAACATGGTATGGAGATATATGAAAGCAATTGCATACACATGGAGAAAAATTTTTGTTATCTTAAAAGGAGGCGTGGCACCTCCCATACAAATCGAAATTTTCACACCCAATATCTCTGGAAGTGTTCATGGTAGAGTACTGGAACTTGGTATGTACAATATGTATATAAAATAAATCGCATAAGTGTTCATGGTAGAGTACTCGAACATGGCATGGAGATATATGAAATCAATCCCATACTCTTAGAGAAAATAGGGGCTTTTTGAAAAGGGGGCGTGGCGCCTTTCAAACGCATTGAAACTATTACGTTTATTTGTATGCATGTACACTTTTGCTAGGTTATTTAAGACGGCACTGGAAATATTCCATCTGACAACCACCAAGCCGTAATATTAGAAGATAAATGCGGCACTGAAAATCATGATCGTGGACTCTTGGTGAAAATGTTGGACCAAAATGTTTCAATACAAAAAATTTAATTTGGGCGGAACGAAGTTAGCCGGGTATGCTAGTTCTCATATAAAAATTTAAAATTATCGGTAATATCTTCATGATCCAAGGATTTAAACCAAATTTTCCTTTACAAAAAAAGATTTTAAAAATCGGTTAACGTGGTCCAAAGTTGTGCGTTAAATAATAAAAAAAAAAAAATATTTTGACGAATTGATAACTTTCTCCTTTTTATGAAGTCGGTTAAAAATTGAATTAGGGTTAACGCCAAAGCTATTATTTTTTACTGATATAGCTTTTTCTAGAGTCAGACTAATCGAAGATATTATTTTTTTCCGTTCAAAAAATATCAGATGAATTTATTTTCACATTAAATGTTGTAAACATATATGTATACATACATACATACCAAAGTTCTCGAAATCTTAACGAAATCTTTAGAAGTATCTCATTTCTGTAACGATTTTTTTTACGAATCTTCAAAGAATTTTATATAAAGTGGCTGACACGAGCTCGTAAAGAAATTTCTGTACAAAAAAATAAAGAAAATTAGGAAAAAAATCTGGAAGAAATGCTTCACATAGCAACATTATTTTCATTGCTTTGCTGATTTTGCACAGTTTATTTTATTTAATAAAATTCGGCAAAATATCGGATGAGATCTTTACGAATCACTTAAAATTTCTCTACAATTCAGAATACTCTGAAAAAATGGCCAGCCAGTTAAAAAACGTACAATTTACGAATATATTTTAAGAGGGATTATCGATCTTCAAAAAGTTAGCTAAAGGCTCGTACATAAACGATAAAACAAAAAAGTGTAATAGACAGAGGCTTGCAGTAATTTGTCAGCACAAGAAAAACTGTTTATTTCGTAACAAGTTTTTCTTCAACCACAATATTTTATAGTATATAATATTCACATACGAATGCTTTTCGATCCTTTTACGAGTGTTCGTAGGCGCTCCACAATTTCAAGCGAAAAAGTAAACGAAAATGAATTGTAAATGGCTATCATAAACGACTTTTTATCCGGTTTTTCTTCGAGAATATATCCAGTTACGAGCTCGTTTACGATGATTTTGCTGACTGGGTTATTGGCCGGCCACGCGTGCATGGGCATTCAGAATTTTTTACTGGCACACTCTACCGCAGAACTAGTACTAGCAACGAAATTTAATATCCAAGTGGTATTTACCAAATTGAGCGAGTGGCCTGGCACCTATACAGTAAATTTTGGGAAATGCTGTAAGTTCGCTACAACACAAATTCCTGACTTCCGTTAGAATAGTGTTTCTCAACACAAAAAACTTCTATGACAATATACATACATACATACATTATATCTTACGGCAAAAAAAAATTGATTGTCACAGCCAATTTGTACTTTTCACAAGCAAGTTCCAGGTCGTTTTCGATTTCTTCGCTGATAAGACGTATTATTTAGTTGGGGCGTGCAATTAGCATGTGCCGCCGTTCAGTTAATAAAAATTTAATGAAACATTTATTATCTGTTTGTAAACTATTATTATCAAGAAAAAATAAACAAATAAAAAATAATCATAAAAACAGCTTTCGCGAAAGATGCGCACGGGTCCCCGCCTAGTAATTAGCTAATCTAGTTTAACTATCATCGTTAATGAAATCAGTACAAATTTTACTCGTAATGAAAATGAAATTTCATTATCAGTAAAAAATTTGTTTTTACGGCAAATTTTACTGGTCGTGTAAAGTGCTTATCTATGATCGTAATGTGTTTCTAAATGAGGGACGTCAACATTTTCCTGTGACTGCACTTGCTTTTAATATACATAGATTTTTGTACGTACGTATGTATATACATACAGCAGAAATCTGGCAATCTGAATTTATATGTATGTATATTGGGCCGCATGAGCAAACACTAAGCAATAGCTTTTTCTGAAAATTGCATTTATTTAAATAAATTTCACTTTTCACTTTTGGTTTCCTTGGTTTTACTATGAGCGGATCACAGATTTTCGGGTGATTTTTTTTTTCAGGCGAAACTCAGGATAAGGCAGAATATGAAAGTTTTTTACTTGATTGAGTATTTTCTTCATACGGGCGAAGAAAAAAAAATAAATTTCTTTTTTTTTTCATTTAATACCCAAAATCGATACCACTAAAGTCGAAGATATCAGGAAATATTTATGTAAAAATTTGCTTCCTACATTCAAGGTGGTCCTTAATGTACATAAATATATTAATTTGGTTCGAAATTTTTATTTTCCTTTAATACTTTTTTTTTGTTTACCTAATAAAAATACGTTGTTTTGTGAGTTCAATTACAAGCCTGTTAAATATTATCTTTTTATTTTAAGTAAGTGCAACAGCCCGCGCATCGATACGAAAGTGTAACAAATCACACTGGTCGAATAATTCGGAATCAATTGTGGCAGTCCTATAGTTTAGGGTTGCACTTCAAGTTCCTTTTTTAAAACAAAAATTCTTCTTCTTGATTATCTCCCTGGTCTAGACAGAAAAAGGTAAGAATACCATTTATGTTGCTAGGGTCAAATTGACTCGCGTTTGCGAATTAAAGAAAGCTGACTTTTAATTTGGTAAGTATTACGTATCAATCGAGTAAGAATTGTCAAATCTGTGGCATTGAAAATATACAAGCCAGCAATTTCCGCCTCGCCCCTCTCAGTGTTATAACAACATCCGTTTCTTTGTATTTTGCAGGTGGTCTTTTAGGCCTCCCCACATATGAAGGCAGCATCAATTAGAAAGGAAGAGGCACGTCCAAAATTTGACGCATACAAACGTAAACGTAAATTTAATTTAATTTCTTAAATTCTAAAATTTTTTATTTTAAATAATTTGTTTACATTGCAGTCCTTAAACTATGTTTTTTTTTTGGTAAAAACCGCGAATTTACAAATTTTTGCAGCATCATAATTTCAAAAGTTGATGGTCCAAACTTAAAAATTGAGTAACTAAAAAGTCTTCAGAAGACTTAAAAACTGCCATAAAATATATTCACAGCTCGCTGCATTTCCTTGCATAAACAACAACTAATTTATACAGTGTAGTGCATTTGAAATCCGGTTCGCTGATTTGGCCGTTACACACTTTCATCTTAAGTAGAACTTGGACCAGATCATCCAGAAATTCCTCATGTTGACCTTCCGGTATACGTGATAAAAAAGGCGTAATAGCTTTCAAATTATCTATAAGAATTTGTAATTTTCTTAAGTCGATTGCAACAGTGAAGAAAATAGCACAAACCTTTAAAATTTTGCGCGCCCTCAAAGACAAAGGTCTCATTGCGTACCTCCACATTACAGTCCACAAAACCATTTTCAAGCAACAATTTGTTATAGTCAGCCACTGGATCTTCACTGTTATATAACGGTGAAATATATTGCATAGCATCCGCCATATAGCTACCCCATTTTTCTGATTTTGAGAGTTCCATAAACATTTCATAGAAGGGATGATTCGCGACGAAAACGAGTAGACAGTCACCGCCACTACGACGCAGCAATTGATAGATATTCTGCAAGGCGCGTCTGGAATATATACATACATACATACATATGAAGGTATCGTTAGCGATCTCAACAGGCTAGTTTACCTTTGATTTTGCACCCAATTCAGGCAAAAGAATGAGGTGAGGTGATCAAATTGCCCGCACAGGTGTTGTGGCAGCTGCGCAGAAGCTATATCTAACACTTCGAAGTTGGCGCGTTCAACGCCACCATACTTCTTGCGCGCGTAATCGATCATACGCTCGGAAATATCTGTGGCCAAAACAGCATTGAATTTCGCCGGCAGCATTGGATAAATTGATTTCATAAGCACATTGCCAGGACCCGAACCGATATCGATGAGTGTGTCACGCCCATCTGCGCGCCATTTCATAATTTTCTTATATTCCTTAAAAATCTTCTCCGAATCACGTCGCTGAAAATCGCTGGCGCGGTGATAAAGCGAGGCTTGATACATGATATTTACGAGTAAGTATGTAGGAGCACTTTCGTTTATTTTGGAGTTACTCGATATTCGCAAGTGGAAGGATTAAACACAATTTCAATCAATTGCTTACGAGCGGAACTTATGTACCATTCACTTAATGTTGAACTTTTGATAGTTAACTGAACGCAGCTGTAGCTTTTATAAAGCGTATCTTTTCATCGTTATCATACCTGGGTACACTGCATTATATATTAAGTGTATTGAGCATAGTTGTAATGAATAAATTTTTGTTCGTAAAGAAATTGCATTTTGATTACCAGTACAATTTTACTGATTACTGAACATATTTAACTACTGATAGTTGGAAATCATAGTTAGGCTTATCTCCCGCAGGCTGAACAACGGAACTGTCACAGCGTAATGGAGCAACGCCTCTCTTCAGTAAAAAGTGAGCAGGGCTACCCTGCAGGGAGGTAAAAACACTTTCGTGGTAGACGACATTTTGGAGAAAATGGAAAGTAGAAAATGCCGCTTCATTACCTACGTGGACGACGTGGCACTCAATGTTAGTGGAAAGTTCCTGGACACTCTGTCACCTGTTGTGCCTAAAATTGGCCAAAAATCTGCGTCAAACGTCTGCTAGGCGCGGATATGCTATAAATCCTGGATAGACGGAGCATGCACTATTTACCAAGAGATATAAATGGTATCATGGTAGGAGACGTTTCACTTGTGATCTCTGACAAGTTCTTGGGCTTGATCCCTGAGAGGAAGTCATCGTGGAAGCCAAATATTGAGCAGCGTATTAAAAATGCACCTGTGGCTCCTTTCTGCGGTGTAAAAATGCCACACAGAAGCTATGTGAAACCATGATCAATCCAATCATATTATATGGGGTCATTGTCTGATGAAATGCACTAGAAATATCTATTCTTATCTAGGAAGCTAGAGCGCGTGCAATGGCCGACCCTCGTTGGCATCAGCGGAGCCTGTCGGATCACTCCTACTTTAGCGCAAAACACAAAACTAAAAGTTGCCGCAGTTCGTTCCGTCATTAGGCTAAAAAGCTCTGGCGGAGCGTTCCCAGGCTTGCCCCGAACATAACCTTTTCCACACACACATCCCTAAGAAGGGGCGAATGGCAGCCTCTATAGTAGAGGTCCAATAAATATCTTCACGGATGGATCGAATAAAGATAACAGAATTGAAGGAGTTGTTTTTTGTCAGGAACTCTCAATAAATCTCATGTTCAGATCTTTCCACTCTGCATATTCATATCCAGACTCAGGCGAAAAGATCTATCCTAAAGATGAGTGTTACCAGGAAAGAAGAAGTGCACTGAAGTTGCATTACCGATGCAAAGCATGCGCCCGCAGTCTAGCTTTACAAAAATGTTAGAAAGCTAATAAAAAGGGTACCGGAAAAGGTGTATAAAGATTGAGATACCTGAAACCTAGGGGAAAATTATATGTATTTTCATTTTCCTGGCTGAAATATACGCGATTGAAAGATGCGCGGATTTCAATATAAAACGAAACTTGCAGGAATCGGAACTTTACGACTCCTCAGTTATCCGCCTATTTAGGCCCTAGGGGAGCATTAAAACTCCGATTACCACTTTCAGGAAATACATTCAAACTTTGTTTGGAACTTGTCATCTAGCTACCAAAGTACTGAAGGCATTTTCGTCTACTTATTACCCGTGCCCTAGAAGATATTTTATTAATATGGTCCCTGTTTGCCTTCAAACACTTTCTCGGTCATCAAATGTTTTGTCAAAGGAAAAGCAGCATCTCCCACAGAGTCAAATCGAAATGTGATCTCACTATATGCAGGATTTTCCGCTTCTAGTAAATTCATTAGAAGCAGTTTTAAATGTGATATTAGATTCAAAAAATTAATGTAAAAGTAGTGAATACTAGACTCCATAAAATGTCCTTTATTAAATATTTTTAGCCCGAAGCTCTAATTGAACGCGGTTGTTAGTTGCCATAAAATATATGTACTTAGATCCCATCGGATTTCCTTGCATAGACTACAACTAATTTGTACAGTGTAGTGCATTTGAAATCTTCTTCATTGATTTGGCCACTACATAGTTTCATTTTAAGAAGAACTTGGATCATATCATCCAGAAATTCCTCATGCTGACTTTCCGGTACACGCGATAAATACGGGCTAATAGCTTTCAAATTATCTATAAGAATTTGTAATTTTCTTAAGGTGATTGCAACAGTGAATAAAATAGCACAAACCTTTCAAAGTCTGCCTGCCAGCATAGACAAAAATCTTATTGCGTATATCCACACTGAAGTCCACAAAACCATTTGCATGCAATAATTTGCTATACTCGACACTCGGATCGCTGCTATTATATAAGGGTGCTACAAATTGCATAGTATCTGTCATATATCTACCCCATTTTTTTGACTTTGATAGTTCTATGTACACATCAAAGAAGGAATGATTCGCGAGAAAAACTAGTAGACAGTCACCACCACTACGGCGCAGCAATTGATAGATATTCCTCAAGGCGCGTCTGCAATAAGTATGAAGGAAGTGTTAGTGTGATCTTCACCGATCTCAAGCACATGTAAACTCACTTTTGATTCTGCACCCAATGCAGGCAATAGAAAGAGGTCACATGATCGAATTGCCCGCACAGCCGCTGTGGCAGCTGCGCGCATGTGATGTCCAATACCTCGAAGTGCGCGCGCTCAGAGTCGCCATAGTTCTTGCGCGCGAAATCAATCATACTCTCCGAAATATCTATGGCCCAAACAGCATCGAATTGCGCCGGCATAATTGGATAAATGTATTGCATCAGCACATTGCCAGATCCCGAACCAATATCGATGAGTGTGTCACGTCCGTCGGCGCGCCATTGCATCACTTTCATATACTGCCGCCAAATCTGCTTCGCGTCGCGACGCTGCACACCGCTGGCACGATGATAAAGCGAGGGCTGATTCATGTTATTTACTATGTAGGTATGTGCTTTCGCTTTTCGTTTTCTTGTAAGTACTCGAAATTCGGAAGTGGAATTCTCGAACAAAATATATCAACCGACCATGAGCACATAAAGCGGAGATAAAAACACTTAGCGGCACTTCCTACTCCCTTTTCAATCGGTTTATGTTGAATTATTGATACCTAATTGAATGCTGCTGGAGCTTTTATATCGATCCCGGTCGTCACTGTGATGAGGTCATTTGGAAGCGTACAGCACAGTGTTCCCGCCATAAGTCAAAAATAAAAAAAGCTATCTTGAAAGCTGTTCTCTGTCTTTCGAACGACTAATTGCAAGATCTGCTAACGAGGAGGTCTTAAGGGTATTCTTTTTGCATTTTAGCAACAATTTTGTTTAAATAAAATAAAATAAAATTAAATAAAAAACAAATTTTTACGATAAAAAAATGAAAATTAGAAGAAAATGAAATTAAAAAAATTAAGTTATAGGCTGCGTTTCTTTATACATTCCGGATAATCCCATTTCACAGCCGGAATAAACAGAATGCGTTTGAAATATACGTTGACATATCATCAGGAACGTTCTAAAGAATAAGTAAACAAAAAAGTTTATTCCAAACGTTCAGAATGAATAAAGAAATGCAGCCATAATAATTGTTATTGTTACGGAAGCCTTTTATAAAATTAAATTAATAAAAAGTAGAAAATTTAATAAAAAAAAAAATAAAATAAATAAAATGAGGTCATAAAAATTGAAAATAATATATAATCTAAAAATTAAATAAAAAAACTAAAAAAGTTTCTAAAACTAAATGCAATTAAGAAAAAAATCTTTTTAAAACAATTTAAAATTAAAGGCAAATTAAATTATAAACAGAAAAAAGGTTGAAAAATAAGTTTCTAAACATTAAATGAAATTAAGTATTATTTTTTAAACAAGAAAACCTAAAAAGTTAAAATAAAATTAAATAAAAAATTATATAAATTCCACAAATTCAAACAAAATCTAAAAGTTAGATAATAAAATTAAATAAAAAAAATATTTCTCTTTTTAAAACAATAAAATCTAAAAATTTAAAGAAAAATACAAAAGTTAAATTAACTTAAAAGAAATTAAAAACTAAAGTGAAAGAAAATTAGCAAAAAAAAGTAAAGTAAGTATATTCAGAAAAAAGAAATTCCGCAGCCAGATGATTCGAACCTTGGACCTCTGTTGGCGCGAGCTAAATGATATACACCTCCATTTGAAACATGCTCACGTGCCTTCTGTCAAAACATTTTTTCGCCCATGAAAGTTGGCAAGGAACTTTTTTTCTGTAAGACTTGAAATACTTCTCTAAATATAAACCTATGAAATTTATCAAATAACATAGTGAAATATCGCAGAATTTGCCTCTTTCGAAAATACCGTTATATGGGATTCAAAAAGCAGCAAAAGGTAAAAGCGATTACGCGGTCACTGAGATACCTTAATTTCATTATAAGTGCCCTTGTCCACGCCCACTTATTATTAATAATAAAATGTTTTTATTGTCTTTTTTCAAAAAATACCGTTATATAAAACGTATGCATATTTTTAATCCGATTAAGGCTTTTTCGTTACCAATCTAGATCAAGACAAAGAGTAATAAGCGTACCGAGTTTATCATTACGTTTTAGAGAAAACAATTTTTTACCGTTGCTCCAAACAAGTGGAACCACTGTGCATATGACGAATATTTGAATCTATTTCTATTTAAGTTAATGTGTTGCTCGCTTTTTAAATCAAACGCGTTAACGCGTTACCCTGTAGCTGCACTTGATTTTATTCGCTCAATGTTGAAATATATTTGCCGAACCGGTTTTTTGAAATTAAAAATTAACTTTCAGTTGCATTTCGCTTATCTGCACTTTGACATCTATCATTGCATTTGATGTAATAAAATTATGACGTGCCGCCGGAGAGTGCTTTTTTATGACTAAAAACTTTAAGTTGCTAAAGGCATCAATTAAATAAAGGAAGAGTTAAGTGGAACAAATTAATACATCTCTGTACATATGTACATACGTATGCACATACC